CAAGCTTTTTACTTGTTAGCAAGTTTTTCTTACTATTCTAGCTTAAGTTTTTATAGCATATAGCTTTTCTGCTTTTCATTATTCGTAACAATTTTTATTTTTTTCTATCTTAGAACTAGATATTAACAACTTTTAGTTTAGTCTTAGATTAGATTAGAAGGGATTTAGAATCTTAATGTAGGCTGAAAGTTGCCTTTTGTTGATTATTAGTAACCTATGCTACTCTAATAGTATGTTACTAATAGAAGATAAAATGCTTCTATAGCAGATCGAACTTGGGCACCATCTAGGCAGCTAAGTTAGTTCTAAATTGCAATAAGAAAAGTAGTAAAGTATTATATCAAGATATAGTATTTTATATTATCTGTATTATCTTTTGATAATTTTTCTAATAAAATGAAAGGCAAGATCACCTAAGTAGAAAAAAAAAAATATTTTTAATTATTTGTTTTACTTCTTCAATTAGATTCCAATTAATATTATCTTATAATTAATTTACTAAAGATATTTCTTCTCTATATTCATCATAATAATCTTTATCTATACTAAGATTATCTTCTTCAAATTCATTTTCAAATTTATCTAAATTTAGAATATTATTTATTAATAAATTTGATTCTTCACTTAAATTTGTATTTTCTTCACTTTTATTTAAATCAACTTCAGTAATTTCAACAAAATTATCTTTATCTAGATTTAAATATTCATCAATTAAAATTTTAAAAACTTCAGAATTTGTTTTTTCTACTCCAAAATATAGTAATTCTTGTTTAGCATATGAATAATGATATGATGCAAGTTTATGCATATTTTCTATTTTATGAAGTGCTAATCTATTTCTTTTTGTTCTATATAACCAACTTAATCTAGACTATATACATTCATATCTAGCAATATGTAGAACAATTGAGAATAATTTTAATGCTAATTAAACTAAATAATCTTCATCTTTAGGGAAACTATCTTCAAGAGAAAACTACTAAACAAGTAGTGTTTCTAATATACTATATAAAATATCAAATAGAGGATCTCTTATAAAATATAATTTCATTTGATATAATAAATTATGTCTTGAAATATTTGATTTACTCATTTTTTTAAAAATATCATCTTCTGCTAATAAAAGTTCTCTAAATGTTCTATATGTCCAATAAGATTCTAAAAATATAAAATTAAAATAATTAATATTTTAAATTTAAATTTAATAATATTAAATTACTTACTATTATATTGTAAATATAAAAAAAAATATAATAAATAGAGTGGATCAGCAAATTCATTATACTTCTTATTAAAAATTGCAATACATTACTTATAAAAAATAGAATAATTATTTAAAGATAACATATTAATAGATATACTAAGATAAATTAATTCACAAAAACAATTAGCAAGAGTATATGAATATGATTCTAAAATTGTGATAGCTTTTTTAGCAGAATATAATATAAATACTAAAACTTTAATATCATCAAAAAATGCATATGAACATAAAATTGAAACAACTACTTGTAAAAGAGTATCTGGTGAATTATATCTTAACTAAAATAAAATATTTAATAATAATTAAAATAATAATTAATAATATTTAAATAAA